TCTAAAAAATTATCATTTTTCTACAACATTATCAGGAACTTTTTTGCTAAGTTCAGTATTCATCATAAGCTTTTACTACTATTTCAGCCATTGTGCTAAAAATACACCCCACCATTCACAAGAGACATGGTAGTCAATTAATTCTGACCAGCACCCTGTGAGAGACATAGCTCAGCAGTCTCCTGATTACCACTGCAATTACATTAGACATTAAGGGCTAACATTCCAATTACCTAAATTAATACAGGCTCAGGGATGCAAAGGTACTTAAAACTGACTGATTCTCCCTAAATATCCAGGACCTTTAGGCTATTTTATTTGTTCTTTCTTGATCTTTTTCCTACAATGACTATAGAATGGGTAAGCTTATAAGTGTTAAGCTCTAACAAAACAGAATTGCTTTGGTTATACAAGCACATAGGTCCTAGTCCTGCAGCTAAGTTTCACAAAAATTTAAAAAAAAAAAAAAAAAAAAAAAAAAAGAGGCATTAGTTACTTTCTGAATTTTTCTGGGCCTCTAATACTCCCAGCACAGGTAAAGAGGACAAAAACATAGCAGCTTTGGCTGCAAGTATCAGCATTTCTTAAAGGTGTGTACACAAGCGTGCATCCATGTGTTTAGAATAGGCAAATCTCATGTAGAGATCTGGGGCAGAAACAGGATTTATTAATCTACATGAGTGTGATGACAAAGATTCTCCATTAACACCCTTTGGCAAACTGTACAAATTCTTGATTAGGAGATAAGATACTAGCAACGCTCCTCCCACCACAGAAAAATCTGCTCCTTACTCAGTAATTTTGCCTAAAAAGTAAAATACACAATGAAAACCACCTGTTCAGAAAGTCTCAAGACAAACTGGTACCAAAGACAAATTTAAGTCCAACAAGCAACAGTTAGGGATTTTGAAAAGCAAGGCTGTCACCCACAATCAGCATCGTAGAATTGAGACAAAAATATGGAGTAACTATTCAGCAATGCAGTGATATACCATAAATTCATGGCCTGAAACATTCTATTAAAAGTATGAAATGGAATTAACATACAGCACAAGAATTTAGTGCATCTGCTGGGAGTAGCCATAGAGATAATAATTTGGCAGCTGTCATTTCTTGCATTTAAAATTAAAAAAATATTTTATAGTGAAAGCACGGTAAAAGGTAGCATTTACGTTACATAATTAATTTTTTGAGGGGAAAATTTTAGAATTCCTCAAATTATACCATCAATTTCAACCCAGGCTTCAAAACAAAGAACTAAGTTGAACGCTTGTCAAATTAGTTGTAAACTCAAGACCTTTAGTGGAAAAGTCACAGCAATTCAGCCTGAGCAGTGGGTTGGACAAGATGACCTTGGGAGGTCCCTTCCAACCTCAACCGTTCTGCAAGTCTGACGCCTCTTGAGCGTGTCAACATTGAACTCAATTCTTAGCCAGTATTTGGAGTCTGGGGACTAGATTTTCCCATACGTGGATGTTGTTAATACAAGTGAGTGTCAACATAGTGAGTGCTGAAGGAAGTAACTGTTTATCCTTTGTCATTTATCATCACTGCTTTAGGACTGCAGAATGGCTTGTAAAGTGATCTAAAGCCATCAGTGACCTTAAAATGCAGCACTGAGCTCACTGAAGTTTAATAGGCAAATGTGGCTTGAGAAGGCAAGAGAGTTCTTATATGGTGAATGCTCTATTTCTAGAATTATCAATTTGGCACTGAGAAATAATTCCCTGTGTTACAATTTACTAATGAAAAATTTATAGAAATGAATACGCACTACAAAGTACTATTCAATTTTTGTTGTAACTCTTTACAGCCAATCTGGCTTCTAGCTAAAACTCCACAAAACAAGAAAGGCTGTAGTATTAGGTCATGGAGAAAACATGCACTGCAAAAAGGCACAAAATAGCTTTGCAGAGCAGAGGGCAGACTTTTCAGTCCTGCTATGCAACATCTATAACAACTATATTTAGGGAAAAGAGTATACTTAAGTGTAAACTGGTCCTACTCATAGACCATCTTAAGATTCAAATGACCAACAGCTGAATTCTAAACAGCACAAGCTCCTGACTTGAGACCTACTGCAGAGCAGTGCAAAAAGCCACGTGCTTCCCAGAGTATTCAAATAGATATAGCCTTCCAAGAACAATGTAAAAAAAAAAAAAAACCCAAAAAACCAAACCCTTGTAAATTACCACATCCTTTTTGTGTTAAGTCTGCAGGATAACATTTGCTTTCAATCGACTTTGTTCCTTCTTGCACTTCAAAAATACAGTTGCCTTTGTCTAAAGCCAGACTTACAGAATAAACATTTATTAGCGGTAGCAGAAGAGGCTTTTTTAGTAAGTTTCCAACATGCAGCTGCACAAAAGAATTAGAGAAATCTCACATCATCAAATTTATCCTCCAACTTTCCCCCCACCCTCCCTGAATATGCTCCTCATCCGAATTATATAGCTATATACAAAGTTTTATTACGGAGCAAGATGAAACACATAGGTAGTGCATAACAAGCATAGTTCCAAGAATTAATAAGGCTGTGAAATACAAAAAATATGTAAACTACATTTCTTTCAATGACTGTTCAGAATCATTACTGAGTATCTTACGAGTTTGTTTGACAGAATTTCCATTCTGAATAAAGATTATAAAATGAAACACACGACAAATATTCCTAAAAACCAAAGCCATTGCTGGTTATTTATATTTTAAAAATATGATGTCATGTAACAGTAACAGATACATCCTGGTATTCCTTTAAGTGGCGGATATCACCAGGGAAGGACTTTTTCTTCCCTCATACTTTGCATTACAGTACTTTATTTTAATCAATTTATTTAGGTGCTTCACAAATTCACTTTCATATATTGCTCATGTATTTCTGTTATATAAACATCAGTCACACCTCTGTCTATCTTAAGCTAGAAATCAAGCCAGCTTTCATAGCATCATAAATCATCACTGCTACTGTCCCCATATAAGCTTAAATATTTATTTTTTTAATCTGGACAACAATAAACTGAGACTAGAAAGCTCATATTTTTTTACAAAGGTGAAAGAATTTCTGTGGGGTTTTTTTTTTTTTAATTCTCAGCATAGAGTTCTGCACCCACCTCACTTTTGCACCAAGGACAACCATCCCAGAGCCAGCAATGAACTTCATGGTCTGTCATCCACACAGAGTAGCAAGACACACAGGCCTTAGTGCTTAATGAGATTAGAATATCAGAAAAACGCTTCAAATTTTGTATGCTCAAAAATGAGTGCTGCTTGTAGGTGCCCAGTCCTGTAGGCCCACCATCAAATCTGCAGTTTTATCCAGCTTGGAAGAACTTGACAAATACACCCTTTCCTCCGTGGAGAAAATTCTGGGCAACCTTTTACTTATCTTTAAAGTAGACTATTCAATAATAGAAGAGCAGGGTCTTAATGTTGTAGTGCTGGATTGCACACTGCTACGCAGATCCATTGCTGCTACTCAAGGAGTAAATGTGCTCCCAGAAATGGAGCTCTGTGCCTCTTCGCTAGGCCTGGTGGCTTCTGGGAGACAATTAGTCCCTGAAGGACAAATAATATTAAAAGCAGTAGGGAGATTATCTGAGGCTGGGAAAGTTTTGTCAGTGGGTAAAAGATAGCGAGGCTTCTAAACACTCAACATATCAGAAGGAATGAATTGTGCTACAACGTGCACCTTCTTAAACCACTTATGACTCAGCTGACTAAAGGAACAAGACTGCATCCAGATTGCAGACAGAACTGAATTCCCATTTAGTTGAACGTCAAAAATTCAGTGATAAAAACCATGTTGCATCATGATTTTTTTTCTTCTTTAAAACTGTTCTATAGATCTATGTTATTTACATATTTGACAATGGGCAGTACTCAACTATGGTAATATTGTTCCTGAAGAAGGAGGCACATTTTTTTGCTAAATAATTTTAAAAAGTCAATACATCAACTAGCAAATTTAACAATCAGGTAAGAAATGACATTGTTTCCCAGAGAGCAACTGTCTTAGATTTATTTCATCAAAGGTGTGATACAATTACAAGCCCATGCATTTCATAAAAACCTTAAGTTAAAATTGTTATGTAACAAAATTTTAAATAAAGCATATACAGAAGTTTCTCAGTATTCAAGTGGACTGGTTAGTCTGGAGGAATATTATTTGCAACATATGGGCAGAAGCATTGACATTTGCATGTAATCACTTCTTTATCTCTTTTGTTCCTCCACTCCACACCTTCTGAAGATAAATCACAGTTGAATAACTCTATGGATTAAGTCCTAGACATAAGCTCATAATTGAATCCAGAATTTCACTTTCCATTAGCTACACATTTATAGTACATATTCTTATACTGTAATTAAAAAAATAAAATAAATTAGACTACATTTTTAAAATGTAGCCAGTACAACTATATTGAAAATTTTCATTTATCAGTTTGATTTGCTGATAAAATTAATTTCTGTCTACTTAAGTTCTTTTTTATTGTTACAAAGTAATTCTTGTAATTCCTGAATGTTGTTGAATATTAATGCCTCTTGTAGAAAATTTAGGTATTTCTATGTAATGAAACTGCTGGAGGAATTGGAGAGAAGCTGCAACAGATTAACATGAAATAAATATTATAGATAGTATTTAAAAGGCACACAAATACTTCAAACACATACAGTTTCAAATCTTTATTGTTTTAAAATTCTACATGTCTTTTACAATTACAATAATTTGTTACTTAAATGACTCTTGTATGGTTAATGTACAATGAGTTTTTTCCTGAAACTCAACCATGAAATACAATTTCATCAATATGATTTTTCTAAATAGATTAATACAAGATTTCTGTTTTGTTGGGAAGAACAAGTGCTTCACTTTGAACAAACAGCACAGGTGTCTTCCCTTCAGAATCTGGGTGATCAATCCATCGAAAGTGCTTCTGAAGATTGCAGATCTAACTGTGACTGATTTTCAAAATCAGTCTATCAAATTACAAGGTTTTTTTTAACATTAAAGAGCATTTTCATGTAATGAAACAAGTTGCAGTAGTTATTTTTATTCATCTACTGAGGCAAACTCATGTTGAAGAAAAATTATATGATTATCTGCATGCAATGAACACTCCTCTTTAAATAGTTGATGAATTTTACACATATAAAGAATCTGTTAAAGAGTGCAAGTACTTTGATAATGATTTCACAAAAGGACGTATGCTGGTAATAATGGTAACTAACATTTAACATCTAAATACAAGCTAATGTATATTTAACAGGCAATTAACATGGCTAACAAACCATGTTTCATGTGGTTGCCCTTTGAGAAAATGAACTCATTTGGTCCACACTCCTAAAGTTATCTGGGTAAAAAAATTGGAACAGTTAGGGCCAGAGTTTTTGATTAAATTCTTGTTTCTAAAATGTGACCTGTTAAAAAGTAAAAGCAGTACATCAATGATGTATCTTGTCACATGACCTCAGTATAAAAAGATGGCCTGCTATTTGGAGCAATGAACGAGCACTGAAGGACAAGTCAAAAAAGAATGGAGACAGAATAAACTAAGATTTTGTTGTGTTATACTTTCTTGTTCCATGGTACTGCTTTCACTCTGTAGAATTTTGTACCCAAAGGAACTTTAAATCTGTTTTGTGCCTACAAAAAAAAAAAATCAAATTACATTAGAAATGTGGGATTATTCCTCTGATTTTTATATTTTTAAGCAGAAACTGATTCCCACCTCTCAGCATTTACGAGACCCTTTAGAGCCTGGCAAGGTTCTGGGCAGTATGGACACAACCACCCAAGCCACTGCTCACTCTTTTTTCTAGTTCCCCGCCTCTTGCTGTTCAGAC